TGTGTGTGTGTGTGTGTATGTGTGTATGTGTGTGTGTGTCTGTGTGTGCGTGTTCTTTTCCTCGATTTATGTTTTAAAACGAGGTCACATTGTATTTCAGATTTTCAATGGATTTCTAAATTTCAGTTAAATTCGCATCCAAATTATTGCAGATTGTTTTTTTTAAATATCACTTTGAAAAGTTTGTATGCATTAAAGGCTTATTAACCTGATTGCAACATAAAACTAAATTGTTGGATATAAAGTAGTCAGATTTATTTGTTCCGTTTTTTTTTTTTAGTTTATTGTAAAATTTTCCAAAAGCAAATGAAACCTTTACAAAAATATTTTCATCTCAAGAAAAAGATTCTATAATAATTGTTGGATTAGTATCGTACATTATCTCTCATTACATTGCAATTTCTGCAACATAATCACAGATGCAAACAGCTCATAGCGATAGACTATTTGCATGCGTAACTGCAAGTTATGCAAACCGAAAAACAAAGGATTCTCTACAATACAGTCAGAAAGTTTAATTGTGTATTGCAAATTTGCAAACAAGTTGGCATAACTTTCAAATATCACAACATTTCACTCCCTGCTTATATTTTTAAAAATTTTCAAGATTCAATGCTTTTAGATGAGAAAAAAAATTTGCACCTTTTTTCGAGAAAAAAATTTTATTTCGTGTCACACGCTACGTGAATCAAAAATTGAAATCATTTTAGCATTAGGGAGAAATAGCAATTTCGACAAAAATTCGTATCACAAATATCTTGTCCGACCAAAATAAACTCAATCAATACAATTCAAAAAGTTATTCTTTGTTGTGCATTTGTGAAATGCTAAAAGAGGCGGCTATGCTCAAATAAAAATTGCTTTAAAACTTTGAAATTTATCTCCAGAGATTTACAATATTTCGAGAGTAAAAGAGCAATATATATCCATATATATATATGAGGTTAGAACTCCGCTAAGCTTAAATTTCAAGCTATCAAGAATATTTTTTTGCAGAGCATAATTATAATTGTAATTATTGCCCGATAAGTTGATATTACTAAAATTTTTACGAGTTCAAACGAATGAAATAACGTATTCAAAAGTTTGCAGTTAACATTTAAGTTAGCGAAGCTTTACTTTGCTACGAAAACTTTTGATAAATTAACAGTAATTTTAACCGAACTAACAAATCTGTAATCCAAAATCTTCCATGTGGAAGATATTCTTTTTTTAGTGAGTTACTTTTACTCTTACACATACATGTAAAACTAAAAATTTAAGATTCATCTTTCACTGACAAACTTTTTAAAATTTAGCAATTTTAACGGAAATTGAAATAAATTTGTAGAGAATTTGCGAATTGCTTGAAAATTAAATGAAAAAAAAAAGATATTTTGTGATAATTAATCCACTCAGAAGGCAGAAAAAAAACCTGTTTCTATCTTGGCATTATTTGCTTCAAAGAATTGTTCGAATTTTCAAAAATATTTCGCCTCTCTCAAATTCATTCCATCAAATGAATCCAAAAAGATAGGCAAGGAGAGGTTGTTGTCGACAAAATGTAACTTTTTAGCCTCTCTCTCTCTCTCTCTCTCTCTCGCTCTCTCCCAGCACTCAATCAAACTTCATCATCTCGACATCGACCACTCGATCTAATGTACAATTTGCCCTCTGGGGAAAACACTGTAACTTCATTCATTGGCGCTCAACAATGGAATTTTTGATTTGAAATTAAAATTTCAAGTGTTTTATTTCTGTTTTATAACTTTCAATCTTTATTTCTGTTTTATAACAAACAGTCATTTTAAAATATAATTACCATTACTTCAAATTTACATTACAAGTTGTATATTTTCGAATTTCAAAACTTTAAAAGTAAACTTAATAATTCACTACTTTGTAGTGTATCTCATTATTTTAGCTTAGAATACAAATTTCGTTGAGTTCAGTTTTTAGCAGTCTCTCTTGGCAAATATAGCCTAGCGTATTGTGTTATTTTTTCCGCTATATACATGGATTTTGTTGAATTTAAATGAAGCTTTCTATTCAATTCATTTTTATTAAATTTGGAAAAAGTAATATCGATTTGATTATACTTATACTTTTAGGAAACTAAATTTTAAATATTATTTAAAATTTGAACTGATATATGACACAAAAAAGGAATGCCTAAGATATATCGTGATAAAGAGAAGGAATGCTATTAAATTTCAAATATTACTCAAAGATTTGAACCGATACTGTGATACAAAAAAGGAATGCTTAAGATATGAGGGTTGACCTTTCATCATTGTCATTATCAAAAGTCATACTTCAAATTATAGTTCAGCGATGCTTCAATCTTCATCTGTCAGGCCTAAGTCTTCTGACCTAAC